TATTTATCAGAAATTCTTCATGGGCACACTCACACATTAAAGTTATTCCTGTAACTGAATTTGTTATGGAAAGCAGTTTAATGTAAGATGAGTCTGCCTTGGAGTCCATCCAAGGGAAGTTGTTGTTAGAGACACTTCAGGAGTCTCATCATAAGCTTCCAGAAGACTAAATAAACAAGCCACATTCTACTTGAGAAGTTTTCTCATCTTTCAAATTATCTGTGGATATCAGTTCAGAAAATTTATGCCAGGGATATGGGACTTATGAACCCAACCTTAAAACGTTGGGTTGGTGGATTTCTAATATGTGCTTTGTATGCTTTGTTTTCAAAGGGAAAGCAGTGGCTGTCTTTTGTTAAAATATGTGCTCATAACTTTAGAATTTCACGTAAGTTTCATGGGATGTTTTGTTTACAGATTTTGACTTGTTTATTTACTTATTTGTTGACTAGCCAGTTTGCTGCTGTTTGCTTTTTTTCATTGTTGTAAAGCACATGAGAATGCCTCACATGTCAGTACCTGCACATTTTGTTTTCAGTGTCTATATTGTACTCATAAAAGGAGTTTCATGGATATTTGCATTCTTGACGAAATTTTGAGTCAATTTAAACTGGAGATAAGATAACCTTTTGTTTTATTCATGGATTTGTAGCAGTACTATTAGTATATAAATGCTTTTTTTCCTGGAAGAGTAAAGTAGCATAAGTAACTCAATAACTATGAGGCCAACCAACCCAAACTCTGTATAACATAAAATGCATTTTAACTTTGGGTAAATTCATAAAATATTAATATTCAAAAGGAGTCCGTTGAAGATGAGATTTTCATGTGTAAGATACCTGTCATGAAACTCCCATTCTTTTATTCCATGATTTCGTCTTGGGTAATAGTGCCATCTGCTGTGTGCAGCCGCACATTGCTGCCATATAGAGGTCAGTTTATGTTTATCATCTATAAACGCTGTGCAGATTAAAATTTTGTCTTTTCAAGTAAAAGGCTTATATTGGACTTTGTCATCTCTACTGACTAATTTTCAATTTGTGTACCACCTGATAATATTTTAAAAGAAAATTTTGTAAATGTTTTACCCTGTGAAATTGTAAAATATATAACTTGATGTAGCAGGTGAGCCTAATTTTTAGAATATAACAGCAGTAACTAAAAAATTTTCTTATTTTAATTTTTCATCACAAAAGGAGCAAAATGATTTTCCATGCAATGAGTTAGTATTGATTGTTTTAATCTGTAGTGACTTAGCTTTCTGATTCCGTTATTTTTTATTTTACTACTATGAAATTTGCCTCCCTTCTACTGACATCTTACACACAACCTATGGAAGTCATTATATTTACCAGTAGTATGTTCATCAAAAAGCATCAAGTGCTAGAGTTTCCTTCATGTTTACCACTTTAATATTTTTTAAATCCTATAATTTTAATTATCCCAGTAACTTTGTCACTTTTATTTTTATTTCATGGTTGATGAACGCAAGATACTTTGTATGCTAGGCATTCATACCAACTATATAAACAATGGCTAGTTTTCATTCACATTTTCTCAGTCTTAAAATTGGTACCAAATTTTTAAATGACAAATTGGCATGTATAGCTTAACCTGAATTCGAAACAGTTTCGTCTGTAGTGTTGATGTGTTTTATTCTGCTTCCCAAAATGATAGGCTTATATTCAAGACATACATTTGTGGACACTGATATTAGGATTTGGAGTATGAAAAAATTTTAAATGTTTTTATGCCTGTTGTTTTCAGACAGTGTGGAGCAGAGCTATTATAAGGCTGAAAATGTAAATCTCCCACCAATCTCTCAAATTTTAATTTAAATATCACCTTTACTCTTTAATTTAAATATCATACTCTTTCATTTAAATGTCACCAGTAAAACGGTTCCCACATTGAAAGGTAAAAGCTATGTTGATTTATTTTCAGATTGTAAGGCAGGCAAACTGGCTTTCCCCTATCTGCCCTGTCACTTTGTTAGTCCTGGATGATCGCTAAAATACACAAAGATAATGTTCTGTTTTTCTCTCATCTTTCTCCTTCCTTTCTTTATAATTTCTTCACTGCTACTTTGTTAAACACACTGGCTGGTTGTATGTCCATATTTAAAGCTACGAACACTGTAAGTTTTATACATCAAATACTGTTTGTGAGCTTACCTCTGACATTTAATACTAATGATGTGCTTTGTAAATCCAAATGAGAGCATGTTAAAGAAAAATTCCAGAGGGTCAAACAGTTGATACATATGAGACATCATCCTGAAGTCAGAAATATTTGACTCCACTTGGGAATTAGTGATTGTGAAATAATAGTGAGCTAATTAAGACCTATACAAACAAATTGTTCTCATATTGACAAATTAAAGTTGAATCATGTGAACTGGTGTACATTATAATCTTTCTCTGCTATATTAACATTAATAAAAATGTTATCCACTGGTATGGGATGTGTTAATATTAATAAATTATCTGAGCAAAGACTCATCTCATTTCACATGCCAAATTAGTACATTGCATAATTAAAATCCACAGGAGCTTTTATTCTGAAGCATGTGGAGCTATTAGCTCTTCCATGATACTCTAACAGTGCTTCCTTTTATGAGGAAAATATATTCTTCCAAAGATGGGAGTGCTGGCTCTGGCGGCTGTCATGTCCAAACATTCCATGCATGACTTCTCACATGAGAAAATACTCTTCTCAGTTGTCAGGGACACACCTTTGGAAGCACTATCTTTGCCTTAAAGAAACTGGAGCTTGCATGAGACTATATAATTATATTTGAACTAATGAAACCAAATTGTTTTCATACTTTCTATAACATTTAACATAACCATTTCTATACTTTCTATAACATTTCAGCCTAGATCTCTGGGATGTAAGTATTACTTTGATGCAAATAATTCCACGTTCTAGTTACCAGTTATTACATTTGTTTTTTAGAAAGTAAATCCAGCTATTATCCACAGTCTAAAACTGCAACATCTTTAGATGCCTTAGCTGATTATACCGTAGCTTCTGATTTCACTATATATTTATATTAGCTTAGAACAAGAGTTTAAACAGCAGGGATGTGAACCATAATATTGCATTTTTCCTGCCCAGCTAGCATGTGAAAAAAATATATCTGAAATGACACATGCACATGGCTGTTTATTAAAGCACTAATTGTAAAAGCGAAAGACTGTAAACAACTCAAATGACCATCAATGGGGCACTGGTGGGAAAAGTTATCATAAATCCTTAAATAGATTAATACAGCTATAAAAGAGAATGAGGCTGTCTCTGTGCTGCTGTGGCATGGTAGTGAAGACGTAGTGTTCAGTGAAAGAAGTAATATACATAGGAATGTGTCGTGTGCTATTTTGTGTAAGGAAGAAGAGAATATGTATACTTATAGTTTCAGAAATAAACAATGGAAGGGTAACAACCAAAACCTAATAAAAACAATTGCCTGTGGATTGAAGGGAGAATTAGGGGAATGGGCACAGAAAGGAAACCTACACTTCTCTGAATGATGTTTTACATTTTTACTTTAGAACCATGTGTTTTATGCAGTTAAAAAACAAATATTAACCACAAGGACAGTAAAACAAAGCCAAACCTAAAAATCAAAAATGAACTGAAACAAATTAACCTAACTGTGTATCACATTATAGCATGATCACATGGAGAGTTATTTCAAGTGACTTTAATGCATAGTGTTTTGACAGCTCATCAGTGGGATAAATTCTAAGATTAAAAAGAAACATAAAGAAATTTTAAACTAATAATAGAATTAGAAACTCACCACTTTGCAACCTCTAATGAAATGATAAATCTAAGCAATAAACATGAATATCTGCTAAAATCTGTAAGTGAAAGGTTGATGGAGAACTTTGTAATAGAAGGGTCAGGCTGCCATCACCTGGGACCTCCTGCTCCATCTTAACCTCACTGAATGTGGGACAAGCACATCCTGATGGGACTTTATAGGAATTACACAGCACCACCTGTGACAGGTTCTTGATCAAAAGAGAGTGAAACGGAATCTTACCAAGCCTCCCGATCTCACTGCTGGTTCACACAAACTATGAAGGATAGAGGAACATGTTAAATGATACCATGAGAATAAAAATTAGCCAAATCCAGAGCATGGAAATTTTTAAAGGATAAGTTATCCAGTTTCCTCAGTAAGTACATGGCAATGAAAGGTAGGACAGTGGACTGAAAGTGATTAACAGGGATTTAAGATACTTATTAACCAAGTGGAATGTGTAGAACTTGTTTGGACCCTGTTTCAAACAAGCCACTTTTTACAAGTGTAAAAAGACATATTTCTGGACAATCTGTGGACTGTATAATGTGATATTAAGGGAATTGTTGATAATTTTGTTGGATGTGAAGATGGTATTTTAGTTATGTTGCTGTTTGTTATTTTTTCTTAAGCCCTATCTGAGATGACTACTGAAATGCTTAGGGGTAACATGCGATGAAATCTGGGATTTACTTTGAAATATTCCAGGTCTACCCAAAAAAGAACTGGAGTGGTGATGGATAGATAGATTAAGAGTAACAGAAAGATAATGATTATAGAGGCTGAGTGATGGGTACAGGTGGATTTAACGTTCTTATTCCGTTTATATGTATTTTCAGAATAGAGGGGGTAGGGTTTTTTGCTTGTTTTTTTAAACTTCTCCCACTGGATTAGCTCAGATTAGCTTAGATCATTATAGCAGAGCCTTCTCAGCAATGTTTTAGGTCTTAGGGTGAGAGTCTTAGTGTGTAGGAACGTAATATTTGAGGATCTTAGGGGAAGAAAAGTTTCTTGCTATAGCTTAACTATAACTCTAGCTTTTCATCCAGTTAAGTTTTTCTTTTCATCCAGTTAAATTTTGTAAGTCCAAATTACTTCACAGAAAGAAAGAACACCACTTAGGTAGAGTGTCATTAACAAGCTTATATGCCAAAATACACCGACATTATACCCCCCCTTTCTTTTTTAGAGCAAACCACCCTGGTAGAACAAGTAAAAAGAGTAAAAGAAATTGAAGCCATTGAAAGTGATTCTTTTGTTCAGCAGACATTCAGATCAAGTAAAGAAGTCAAAAAGGTAAGTTTTCATCCAGGCGTTATGAATAAGCCTTTAGATTCCAACTGAAGAGATGCTTTATTAATGGATTTCACTTAAATGTAAGTGCTTCTTCTAATAGATAGATGAAGTAGGGTGCGAGAGTGTCAGCATGTTATTGAGAGAGAGAGAATGAACCAGTGAGAATCAGTTTAAGTTTAACTTGTCAAAAAATGTACTGTAAAAATGTGTCTGATGCCATTTTTATTTTAAAATTCACTGAAAAGACAAAATGTCAACACAACAGTTCTATAACAATATGCATTTCATGAACATAATACATGGTTTTCTTTTCAAGTGTATATATCTACTTTTTGAATTGACATTGCTAGAGAAAAGTTAGAAAAAGGCTTTAACAGTGAAATTATATATCTTCATATATAGTAACATAGATCTATGTACACTCTTGCCCAGATGGATATAACTTATTCAACTCTAGTAAAAGGGGCTTTGATTAGCATTTTATTTCTGTTGAATATTTTGTGTTTTCAATCATAATTAAGGAATATATGTTCCTTTGGTAGGAAAAGTCTTTCTACTATTAAATACATGTTATCTTTAGTAATCTGCATATAACAAAAACATGGTATAGTTATCAATTACTCAAAAATATTCTACATCTATAAATATATTAATGACTGTATAATATTCCACTGGTGGATGTGTCAATCATATTTTTTTTTCTCTGACATTAGATATTTAAGGAGTTGTAACTTTGTAGGTGTTAAGTAGTTGTCAGTTTGGAGGTGTTACATGTTTGCAAATATCCATTATTATCATCTTAAGATAAATTTTTCAAGATTAGTTACTTGTTAACGGTTAATATTATTTATTTTCATAAGTGTTCCCAAAGTCAGCCTCCAGAAAAGCTGTACAATTCAGATGCCACCCAGAAGTGCAAAGAATGTCTGCCTCCCACACCCTGGGTGACAAAAAGTCCTTTCAGACTTTTTCATGTTTACTGGCCTGATAGGATAAAATTGACCTTTTCTATTTCCATTAGCACTTCTTTTGCTACTAGTGAAATGAACATCTTTTCAATTACCATATACTTCAAAAAATACTTCAGTCTGGAGACATGAATTGAGTATGCGCTGCATACAGGGCACACAGCATTATACAGCCTTGGTTAGTCCATGCTCCCCGCCTTGTCCTTTTGATTTCATGTGAACTTTTTGTAGTTTGCCTCCCCAACTCCTAAAACATGGAGTTGTGAAATGGACATTTATAAAGATAGTTGTCCATTTTATTTAATATTTTACTCTTACATTTAAAATTTATTTAATTACAGTTTTTTCCTCTTACATATTAAAAGGTCATTTATATGTCCTGCTTTAATTTAATTTATTTTAAAAATTTACTTTCCTAATCTTTCTTTTGTGAAGTTCATCCAGACTTCCCAGTTCTCCCATAACTTGCGTAAGATAAATTAGTATTTTCTTTCAGTGGAAATACTTATTCCTCTATAGTTATTCACTCACTGGTTTTTCTCCTAAACAACTTTTTCCTGTTTGGTTCTAATTACTACTGTAATAAAACTATTTTTAATTTCATTCCTTCCTCAAAGATACTAATACTAGCAGTAGTTCTAATAACTAGTGAAATTGGCAGTGAGCAAGGAAATTGATCAAAAGCCTACTTGATACAGTGGAAAGAACATGGGCTTTTGGACTCAATGAGATCCGAGTTTGAATCTTAACTCCCACGCTTCCTGCTGTGATATGTGATCTTGAGCAAGCCTCTCAACCTCTTTGGGCCTCAGCTTCAAAATTCATAAAATGGAGTTAATAAATCCTACATTTTAGAGTTGTTGAGGTTTGAATATAATGATTATCAAATAACTAGCATAGTTCTTGATCTAATGTTTATTTTTAAATAACATACTCTTGCATGTACATTATTTGATATCTAAATAACTGCTTTCAATAAACTAAGCATAGTGCTTGAAAACGTCTACTGTAGGTGCTCAATCTATCTTAAATACGAATTCTTTACCCCATTACATTTCTCTGATATGCCCCTTATTTTTCCCAATTCTCCATGGTCACCAGTAAGCAGGCCTCTTGCTGAGAAACACAGAAATTCTTAGACATCTGGTTTTACCTTAAAAGCCTTTTGAAATGTATAAATGTAATACTATCTATATATTTGAATTCATGATTAGTAATGTTTTTACCTCATTGTATCCCCTAGAAAAGTTTTTAAAGATGACTTCCCTCCCTGGCTGAGTGGCTCAGTTGGTTGGCACTTCGTCCCATACACCAAAAGGTTGTGTTTGTGGGTTGGTTCCTGATCAGGGCACATACCTAGGTTAGGGGTTCTATCCCCAGTCAGGGTTCGTGCGGGAAGTAGCTGATCAATGTTTCTCTCTCACATCAATGTTTCTTTCTATCTATCTGTCTGTCTGTCTGTCTGTCTCTCTGTCTCTCTGTCTCTCTATCATCTGTCTATCTCAAATCAATGAACATATCCTCAGATAAGGATTTGTTTTAAAGAAAGATTACTTCCCTATAGGTTATTAATCTTACAATAACTAAGTCCCAGAGAAAAACTCTCTTTTCCAAATCTACAACAAAACCCTATATAGTCAAATGGCTTCCTATGGGACAAATATAAAGGAATTTCACGTAGATCTCAGATCAAAGGGAACACTATTATTAATTATTTTTATTATTAAAGTTTCTGTTTTTAGTTTTTAGTGCTGAGTTGGAATTTACTCTCACCTTCAATATAGCCATTTGTGGTTTTTTTGCACTTCTAATTTAGATGCTACCATTAGGAATTGAGAGAACTAAGACAGAACAGGGGCCTCTCCATTTCATAAGGATACTTTTTAAATCTATGTGCAGGAAATCCATCTTCTGCTTCAACTTTGTTTATAACAGGCTTTTCTTCACAATAATCATAGAAAGCAATAAAATCAATTCTGGAAAGCCTAGAATTAGCTAGTTCTAGGGTGGATAAGTACGAAAGAGAAGCAAAAACTGCCTTTTAATATTATTAATTCAGCACTGTGAGTTGAGGCATTTAGAAATATATTTAGTTAAAAGATTTTACCAACATTTTTATTTATTTCCTTCAAAATCAAAACCAAATTGCAGACATCTTGGGTTTAACAATTGGGAGTCAGTGGTCAAAAGCATGAAGTGTAGAGTCAGACAGACTTGGAACCACACTCTTCTGATTCTGCCATATACTTACTGGCTCTACATCCTTAAGCTATGAAAACTTATTAAACCTTGGCTTTCTTATCTTCAAATGGGGATAATACCCATGGCAGAGGTTTTTTAAAAGATAAGCAAGATACTTTACATAGAACAGTTATAGGAAGCACTCCAGAATGACAGCTGTTCGCTACGCCTCTTCCTCCTGCTCCTGCCCCGCCCGCCTCCTGTTACTGAATACTGAGGGCTATATTTGTCTGTTGCCTTAAGAGGAAGTGTACGCACAAGGATTCCCATTTTGGTTGGGCCAGGGGTTTTTTTGTGGTTTCTAGACCCTAATATTCTCCTCATTGGACGTTTGGTGACCTATTGCATTACTAGCAAATAGTTAAAAATTACTTCATAGCTTTACACAGCTTTAAACTTGCTGGTTTCCTGTACAGACATCAGCTTTGGACCAGTTTGTTTCAACATAGCATTTTGGAAACATTAAAGCACAGAGCAAATGATGTGAAACAATGTTGTATCCTAGCCCCACTTTTTTAACTTAACGGCTGCCATTTATACCAGAGGTTTAACATATATATTTATCTAATATCCCATATTTATAGCTAAGGAAGCCAAAGTTCAGCAAATTTTCTAACCTGTGGTCAAAGTGCTAGTAAATGACAAGAAGCAGCATCTAAACTAAATTTATCCAACTCCAGAGCCCATTTTTCCTACTAACCAAATGTCTCTAATAATTGTGAACTCAATGCACCTTCCCTGTTGTAGCATAAAGAAAGCATACATTGAAATATGGTAAGTGGCACCAACAGGGGAATATGCTAAAAAGCCTCAGAAGAAGGATTTACCTTGGTGAATATACAATAGGATTAGCCATCCAACACTGAACTTTTGTTAGTCACTGCATTTCAAAATGATCAGAAGAGCAGTGAGGGGCCAACAATGAATAAATTCACACTCGACTGTAATATAAAACAGAGGACCAATTTATTAGTTTAGAAAGTGATATCCTTTTTAGTTTCTAAAATGTCTGTGTCTGCAGTATAAGCTAGGAATTCAGGATGCCCAAGAAGCTGAATTATTTATTAGGAGATTACTTAGCACAGGGAGGTAAATTATCTTGAAGACTGTTTCATCCAGATCACAGGGAGACATGCTAGGGTATCCCTGATGCATAGCAAAGACTCTCCTGAGGACTAAATTACCCATGACCCAAGTTTCAACATATCTCTTTCCTGGAAAGTTCTACACTCATTGGTATAAAGTTTGTATCTCTGAAAAAGGCTTTTCTATACTGTCCATCCCTTCTGTTGGTAGAGTCTTTCTTTATCTGTGTTAATTCCACTAATTAAGCTAGGGAGCTGTTACCAGAAAAGTAGCTGTTACTAATGACGTGCTAGACATTGTGTCATCTGAACACATATCGATTTAACTAGTTGCACCCTCTGCAATCATGTTTCTCTTGTGAGTAGATAATCAGATAGCTCCTGCTATATCATCACCTTCAGGAACAAGATGCAGCTTGTTTTCAAACTGCTGTATGTAATAATCTTATTACCAGTTATTCAGCTCTAAAATTGGTATATCTGACAGATATCTGCCTATGTTTAAAGAGGGTAATTTGTCCTTTAACTTGGAAGTACAATTTGAAAACAATATTTTCCAAACTGAACCACCAGGTGGCAGTACTACTCAAAGCCGGATGTTTGATAGTGGCCATATTGAGGGTTTTTAAATAGTCAAATTTTCTCTAACAGTTTTTCTCAAATCAAGAAACAATTAATGGTTTTTTTCACACATTTTTAATTATGTATTGTTAAATAATAACTTCCTTGTTCTGATTCAAACTTCTGAGAACTTCACTTATGTGTGCATAAGAGCTTCTCAAAGAAATATGTACTGTGTAGGTAAAAATAGAATGAGATTACTTGGTTTTTATAATAAAATGTTACCTCTGCCATACCTTTGGCAACTAGAATAACATCACACCACAGTTTTTCAAGGCAGTTCCACACAGACAGCCAGTCTTCTAGCTAAGCCCTAACAAAGAATGGCTCAAATATGCAGAATGGCACACTCTTATATGCTCTGCACAGCAGCATAGATACCAAAAAATGATATCCTGGACCTCACTGGATTAAAATACTTCCCATTTTCCCTCTGAAGAATGTTGGGTTTACTGTTATGTTTTATAGAGAGTCAGTATGACATCATTTATATTAGGGTTGTGAGTCTTCTAAGCCCACTATGTTAGAGGCATAGAAATGTTTGAGACCTGGGGGAAAAGTATTGGCTCCAGAGTATGAGACTAAAACTGCCAAATCAAATTGAATGGATATTTCTTAAACATTTTTATGTCACTTCTTACAATTTGTGATTATGTATTTATCTTGGTATTTATTTGTTAGCCGTCTGTCAGTCCCATCAGGAAAATGTAATCTCCAGTTGGGACAGGGAACATAGCTATTTACCCAGTACTCAGCAATTAGCGGCACTCAATAAGTACTGGTTAAATAGATGGATTTCTAATTCTAAGATAAGTTATTCTAGGAAAGGATTAACTCATTCATGCATGTTCATTTTTGGATGGTTTGCACAGTGAAATCTGTTTTGCCCTTCATTCGGAGAAGCGAGTGTTCAGAAGTAGACAAGTCAAAGAGAAAATGAAAATTGAAAAACAATAGGTGTAGAACCAGTAGGTATAGAAAAAAATCTAAAAGTTGAATTAATCTTCCAATTGCCTTGATTTTTAAAAAATTTTGATTTCAGCTTCTTATCTAACCCATTTTGTATTATCCCTGAAACCTTGCTGCTAGTCAGTTACTCCCTGGCTTTCTCCTTTCTTAGGGAAGGAAATATTGGAATAACCCCGAGTTAGCACACACTGCTGGCTCTTTCCAGGCAGAAACAATGATTTGTAAGTCTTTTTGTCCCCAGCACTTAACGCAGTGCCTGTATTATTCAGCAATAAAATGGAATGAAGTACTTATAAGTAATATAACATGGATGAGCCTTGAAAACATTTTGCTAAATGAAAGAAGCCAGTAACACACAAAAACACACATATTGTATGATTTCTTATATATGAAATGTCCAGAATAGGCAATCCATAGGGACAGACAGATTAGCAGTTGCCTAGGGATGGGAGGGTTGGGGAGAGATGGGGAGCAGTAGCTTCCAACGGGTATGGAGTTGGTGGAGGGTGATGAAAATGTTTAAGTTGCTTGTGGTGATGGTTACAAAACTCTCTGGATGTGCTAAAAGCTACATGATTTGTAATATGTGAATTATATCTCAGTAAGACTGTTATTTTAAAAAGTAACCTATGAATTTACATATATGAAATATACATTTTTTCAATAGGATAGACTCACAGTACCAATTTCTTAAGAAAATTATGCTGATCATAAGAAATGATAAACATTTTCCCAATGTTTTTGTATTGGTTTGCTTGTTTTAGGAATAATTATTTAATAACCTGGAGCTTTTTGTGATTAGTATCATCTCAAAGGAGACTATTGAGCAATTATTATTCAAAATCAGAAATATTATTAAAGGAAAATTCTGATTGTATATTGTGATACAATTTATAATATGAGTTTTATGTTTCAGTCAGTGGAACCTGGCGAGGTGAAGCACGCAACTGCAGCATCAGGAGCAGCATCAGTAGCTGCTGAACTACCCAGTAATGAAAAGGAAACAGACCCAGGTAGCATCCCTACTGCTATCAAGTACCAAGATGACAATTCTCTGGCTCATCCAAATGTAAGATCCCTAAACATAAGGCTGTCTATTGAAGTCTAGTTGACTGAAATTCAGACTCTTTTGGCAACAAGAAGACCATTGAAGGAAATGGATTCATATGTCCTGATTTGCTAAAAATAGGCAGCTGACCCCCAGTCCTTAGAGCTGTTACATGTATTTGAATATAGTATGTCCAACTCACGTTTCCTGACTTCTGGAAGCAGTCTTTCTATGGCTAAGAAAAACAGGCAAAAAGAAGAGTTTTGTTTTGTTTTCAATCAGGCACTAAAAGATCTAATTCCAGCTCAGCTCTATATGGTTCATTGACTATGAGTATGTCACAGATGTATCTGTCTTCTGAGAAATGGTGTCATTTCACTCGGTCCCTCAGAAAGATTGTAGGAAATGAACTTCACAAAATACAGTATGGAATTGTTAACCAAATGATATCGATATTAGTTCTTTTACTTCAAAATTACCTGATCATTATTAATTCCAAATAGGTGATCTTCAGCTAAGAAGTCATCAGGAGTTAAACAGTATCCAAATCTTGTGCTGAAAAATATATTTTATAAAAGTGATTTACATCATGTAAGGTCAAACCCAAGTGATTGGCAGAAAAGATAACATTTTTTTCTTTTTTTATTTCAGTTATTTATTGAGAAAGCTGATGCTGAGGAAAAGTGGTTCAAGAGATTAATTGCTCTTCGACAAGAGAGGCTAATGGGCAGTCCTGTGGCCTAAATAATACATATGGTTGAATTAACAGCAACATTGGAAATACAGGTTTTTAAATCCCAATTTAACTTTTTACTCTGAAAAAGAATTGACCCAATTATATAAAAAGGTAATCCTATTGTATTCATTTTTCATATCAGCTTGAATATTTCTTGATTTGAACTTAAACATTGTGAATATTAAAACTAGTGTAAAATTGAGGAATGCATGAAAATGCCCTACTGTTAATAAAGCTAATTCTAAAAATATCACTGTTAAAATAAATAGCACACAGTAGTGTTTCTAAGTATATTTTTAACATATTAGGTTGTCATTTAAAGACTTCATCTTCCATGTCTTATGAAACCATTTTCAATATTTTATTTCACCTTAGTGGGAAATTTTAGGCACAATAAAAAGCACTCTTAACAATCTAAGCAGAATGAGCATGTTAATATTTAAAGAATAACATATTTATTGAAAAAATTTCTTGAAAATCAAATAAATCGATGATTTACTGCTTAGAGATCAGATTTTACTAAGGGCTCCTTTTAAACATGTTAGCAGATCCCAGCTCATTCTTCTAGAAATCACATGCTCAAGCTAGACCTAACCAGTTGGCCAAATACCCGTGATACGGAAGTCATTTCTGAGAAAACAGGTAAGAGCTCTCCCTTCAGTCTTACTTAGCCATCTTCTGTTCCTGTAGAGGAAGCCAGCTAACTTTAATTTTGTAGAATACCTTTCTCCAGTAGCTGAATGAAAATCAGCTATGCATTCCATACTGAACATGCCAGAGACACGGATTTCAGGCCTTGCCTTACAAAACTACTTTTCAACAGGTGACATAAATATTCCCCTTTCCTATTCTGTTCTGTTGTCTGGCCTCACTCTGATTTAGCCTCTATGAAGACTGTACCTCAGAACACAAGATAAACATGAAAAGTTTTGAGGATAGGATTACCAGTCTATAGGACACCTAATGGTATCTTTTTTATATTTCTGAAACTACTAAAATTCTAATCCCTGTTAAAAATGAAAAATATAAAGAGCTTCCACTTAATTGCAAAAGGTATGGAAAAGAGACTGCTGATAACACATGTGTTTTCATACAAACATATTTTCACGTCCTAAATAGACGCTGTTGTTCTTTTCTTAGCTCTAAGTGTCCAGTAGGAACTCAGGTTTGTATGGTTTTTAATATAGGTATGTAAATTTTTAGAGACTTAAAAAAAAGGATTACAGTTTCTGAAATATTTTGTATTTTATTCTTTGCATGACTTGTAAACAGTAAATCTACTATCACCCTTCTGGAGAGTATACTTGGCAAGAATATGGGTTGTCATTGGGGCCACTAGTGATTCTCTGAAGAACGTGGACTAGGCGTTTTTCTCAGTATGACTGATGTTTCTCATCTATAAAATAGTGAAAATATAGTGATCTACACTAATTATGTATAACTCCAGTGTTCTTCTGTGGCAAGTAGCTCAAATACAGAAGCTTGAACTACAATAGATTTGTATTTTAAAGCTAAATTTTTCATAGAGCTAGAGAATCGGTTCTTTTTAATTAACTAAACTTTAGTCACTTCACGAACTCAATGACTTCTCTCTGATTTCCAATATGATTCATTTTAACGTATCATTAACTGTGTCTACCTGCATTCCCATTGAAGACTACAATATTACCACACACCCCAAATCAAATTTAATGAGAAAGACTTCATAGAATACTGTCAAACACGTCATCAAGCTCAGGCTAGGTGATGCATCCCGGCCTTCTTTAGTGCCCTAACGTAATGAGTCTGTAACACAGAACAATACCTTTCATGTCACTTGAATGATGATAACAATTTGGGCTTACATGAGACCTCAAAGTATTTTTTGAAATGTTGATTTTGTGTAAAATGATGAGTACTAATAATACAAGTTGGATTTTCATTTCTGAAGTGAGTACATTCTCAGGGAAAATGGAGTGACACTCCCTAGTTACGAGAACAAGATATGGAAGGATATAAGGACAAGACACACTTCAGCATCGTAGCCTGTGTGAAATGAGGATACTAATAGTGGACTTACCTACTGTGATTTTTCAGCAAAATAACCTAAAAGAAAGCCACTCATAGAAAAAGTTTACTATTTATGCCAATCTAACATTTTGGCATGGTAGCCATCTTAATGAAATATGGAACAAATAGTTGCATGGATAATGATTTAAAAGGCCACACCCCAACTTCAGTGCAGTGTACTCCCTTTATATTTGAACTACCTTGGCCAATAGACCCCATTCCAGCTCTCCCCAGCTTTCTCTGATCTCCCTTCCTGCCAAGACCACAAGAAACCCTACTTGCTCTACAGTTAGTGACCTGACTTGAAGAATGCCAGGTCTCCTTTGGTCAGATTTACCCCCTTTTTAAACATTTTTTTTAATACCTAGCTTGGGCCAGGCACAGTAGGGGCAGTTGGGTATACAGAGGCTTAGCGGTGAAGCCCTGGCATGTATATGATACAAGAGATACAATAATTTAGTGGCAGAGGAGAGGACATTGTTGTGAAGAAGAGAGAAATTACTCTGAGTTATAAAATTAAGGCGGCTGAATTGGAGCAATCACAACTGAATAAAGACTTGAAAGGATAGGAAAGCTTCTGGAGCCACAGGAACTCGCATCCACTCACTTCCACCTTTCTGATCGCTGCTCTAGAGGCTGGGAACTGCAGCAGCTCTAACCCAGGGAAGGGTCCCTTTCATAAAAGATCCAAGTGACCCTTCCCTCTCAATCTTATTAAAAATCCAGGCATAAGTTTAGGTTCCTGGTCACTCACTGTCATTCTCTAGCCATTCCTCCCTCTTGGAGCATCGGCTGGATAAGCTAACCCTTCATTTGGCCACTAGCATCAACAGTCTTGCATCCCCACTGCTTGACATTAGCCGAGATGTGCAATGGCAACTGAAAGGACACTTTCAATACCTCTAAGAATTACATCTGCCAGTGTGGCCTTGCATAGCCATATGGACCACTGATACTCTTAGTTTTTCTCTTGTGTGCTGTATAAAGCATCGGTTTGGAGCTAAAAGACACAGTTCACTTGCCTATGTTTAGATCCTTCCACAAATTTCCTTTGGTTTGGGCATCAAGTGAAAATCTTTGAGTGAGCAAATAAGATAGTAACAAAAGTTAGAAATGAAACAAGACATGGAATATTTTTGGTCACTAAACTATGGATGAACTGATCTAGAATTCTTATACCCATGTTTTTCCTTCCCCCCTTCCTCAACCCCAAAATTCCTTGTGAGTATTACAGAAGTGATTTTAAACCAGCTCTTGGCATTATTCAGTTGACACAGTGCTTGAATTATTTAGAAAATGTTTAAATGCCATCCTTTGGGACTCCCTTATGGAATAATGGAGAAACAAATCTTGATAAGAAATATCTGAGTCTTTACAGGAATAAACAGCAGAACAGGAATGAAAGTGGAGGTAAGAAAGAATACCTTCTCACTTCTCAAATTATCTTCATCTTTCATCAGAGGCATAGACATTGATCAATATATTCAGCTCTTTTTTGAGAAGTGTTTTCTAAATTAAAGAAAATCTTCTGTCATAATATATTTCCAGGTTATTTTTGCTATTATTATATCCCCAAAATCTAGACCATGTCTGACACAAAGAAGGCTTTCAATAAATATTTTTCAGTGAAAGAAGAGTGGATTTGTTCATCTCAAATGGGCAGTCTGTTTAACAGTCAGTTATTTAAATTACTCAAGCTATTTGGAGCCAGTGCAGAAATAAATAAGTGTCTGGGCATATACCCAAAATACTTGAAAGCAGGGTCTCGAAGAGATATTTCTATACCCATGTTCATGGCAGCATAATCCACAACAGCTAAAACGTAGAATTAACCCAAGTGTCCACGGATGGTTGAATGGATAAGTAAAATGTGGTATATGCATACAATGAAATACCATTCTGCCCGATAGAGGAAGGAAATCCTGCAATATGCTACAATGTGGATGAACCTTTAGGACATTACGCCAAGTGAAATAATCTAATTACAAAAAGACAGATACTTTATGATTCCACTTATATGAGGTTCTTAGAGTAAGTAGTCAAAATCATAAAGACAAAAAGTATAAAGGTGGTTGCCAGGGGCTGGGGAGTGGATAAAAAGGAGAATTACTGTTTAATGGGTTTTAGTTTCCCAAGACGAAGCAGTCATGGGATGAATGGTGGTGATAGTTGCACAACAATGTGAATGTATTTAATACCACTGAACTATACACTTAAAAATGGTTAAGTTGGTAAATTTCATGTGTATTTTACCACAATAAATATATGTAAATATATATACATGTATATAAAATAAATAGATGAGTTTTATAACCCAGTTAGTTTCATTTCTCTGATTTATATCTCCTAATGTCTCTGAGCTGATGAAGGCCTTGGGATATCATGGAGAAATAGAGTATGTAGTGCCTTCTCTATTGCATTAAGGACTAACAACAGGGGTGAGACTTTAAGCAAGAATCCTTCTAGTCCTATACTTGCCCAAACTTCCTTTCTGGTCTAATTTTTTTTATTGTATAGATAAAACTTCAAATGATGTGAATGTGGTCACTCAGGGTCCACCTATTGTCTCCTGGGATTGCTCTCTGTGCAAACTATAGGTCAATTTTCAAGAAATAAAGGCTACCAATACTGTAAGACAACACTTTAAACTCAACAGTGTACCATTTTATTTTTAGGTCTCAAAAAGGAATGGCAAAATGATCCTGCTGCAGTTCTCAGGATGATGAACTGAACTGACCCTCTCATATTAGCATCCTGTAACATGGTCCTCAGGCTCAAATCCCAGTGTAAAAAACCTAGCATACCACAGACTCCCTTTGTAATCTTTTAAAAAATGAACAGCTAAAATCCCATGTCTTAAAGTCCTTAACTACAGTCTATCTACCTGTGCATGTTCCATGAAAATTATGTCCTAAACTTAAAATAGAATTGAAAGCATAAATATTTGAGAAGTAAATGTTTTCCAAATATCAGCACAATAGGTTGAATTACTATATTAAAGATTGGATAGATTTTTTAAAACAAATTCTGTAACTGGATCATTTACTTAGCCCCATTGCAGCTTTTCTCTTTCCTCTTTCTACTGTAGTAAGTCTCATTGATCTCGAGAAGAGAACTCATGATAACTCACTTATTAATAGTTTGAGAAAATACTTTTTTCAAAATGCAGTATATCTGAATCAGCTGCTGTAAACCAGCTGCTCCATTATTTGAAGTAGAAATGGAAAGTCATCCAAAATTATAATCTCCAATAAATATACTTTTCTCCATGTTGAAATTCTTCATTTAAAAAATTTTTTATATGCCTACCATAGAGCATATTTAGCATCGGAAGCTGTGCACTACTTAATAGTTGTTCCATCAAAAACAGTTGAACGTTCAAAGGGAAAACCATCTTTATATTAACACTCTTTCACCAACAGCCACACTTGTATTTCAGAGGTCATGTGGGCTATTTTCAGCAAAGGTGTTCAGAGACTTCATTCATCTTCCATATAATTAATAAGAGAAGGTGACAAGTGATTGGTAAATAGGTTAGCATTCACCACAGCCTACAAAATACCAGAGACTCATTTTCTATTTGGGGTCCTTAGCTCAGCCTCCACTTTCTAAGTATTTTTATCTTGCTACAGTAACTGCAATATGATTCCCAAGAGATATTGTTTAATTAACCTCTGAATCCCTTTGAAAGGCATTTATAGAGACCTTCCTTAAAAAGTTTTGAAAGAGTTATAAAAATATTGTGCTTTTTCTCTTATTTTTTGAAAAACCCATGTTAGAATTTCCACAGTCTGTGACAAAAATCTGTTCTTTTACTAACAAAGGCATCATGGATTTGAGATGTATTTTTATTTTTGGAGCTAAAAAAAATCAATATAATTTAAATGTCTGTAGGGAGTTTGAATATTGGTTTCCAGTTCAGATGTGCAATTTTTAAATCAAATATGAATAGCCACCATTTTACTAAACATTCTCTTTCTGCTAACTACTTCAGCATTTTTTCTGTATTCATTTATATATTTTCCAGAAATGATATAATTTAAACTTGATAGCTAGCAAAACAGTCACACGTAATTTATTAAATCTGCCCATTTGCTGGCCTTGTGTAAATACAGGCAGCCTGACAAGAATACACAAAATAAAAGTTACATTGAGAATTAAGCGCCTTGCATGGTGGTTTCCATATTTTTGTGATTTGGGACTTTTTTTCATTGGAAAATACTAAAAACACAGAAGGAAAGA